TCCGATGGAACAAGGCCGCTGTCCATATCGTCTTGTAGAGGTCGAAGTCATTCATGTGCCAGTTCAACAGCTTCGTATTGTGTTTTCCTCGGAACATAATAAGTGAAAGCAACGGAATCTGAACCCCAGATTCAAGTCTGGACCCTGAAGCTTGGCTAGATCTTGGGGAATCTCTTGACTGCGCTGATCATATCCCTTGATGGGATAGACGTGAGACAAGACCCTCCAGGAAAGGGACGAAGGATTCGGGACGGGCCCCAATCTTCTGGGAATGGGTAATCTGGGGGACAGTGTTTTACTGCCGGCGATGCCAAGTGTCATCAAACCTTTTGATTTTAGCGGCTACTAGTTACGAAAGCTGTGCCTGGCAAGCTGGCAGCCTTACCTCCATGTCCGAACCCCCCTGTACTTGTCCACAGTTCAGGGACGTTCAGCAGGGTCAATGCAGTCTTGGCAGCTGACAGTGCCGGAATATGCCTCTTGAGTTGATTGAAGCTGAACGATATGTCCTGGTGCCGATGTTCATGTTCTCGAGTTAATACAGAGCGTGTGGAGTACCGAGCCTAAGCTTAACGGTCCATAGGAACAAAAAGACTCGATGAGTTCACGAAGAATGAATCCGAACAAGTCGAAGCAACGGCCGACGGCGTTGCCGTAAGTCTCGAGTTGGTCAAGACACACGATCTTAGTCAACGAACGTTGCATGAAGATACCTGCAGAGAAAAGGAGTCGACGCAGGAAGAAGACAGAAAAAAGGAATACTAGGGGCGCCATGTGGCTTGCCTGCCGCACTTGTTGTGAAAGGTGTGTTCCCGGGACTTAGCGCTACATGCTCTAGTTGCATATGCGGCCTATCACTTTCCTCCTCGCTTAGACGACTCTACTCCCGACTTCACCCCCTCCAGCATCCGCTCCTTCGAATTCCTCCACACCACATGCTTCCGCCCACACCCTCCGCTAGAACAACACTAATAATCGTTATGTGGACTTTCATGAGTATTCTCCTCCGCACCATCAACTGCCGCCTCCCAAATAGGCAATGAGGCTGAACATATGTCTGCGTCGCCCCCCAAAACCTTCCCCTGGTAGAGTGGCATTCCGTAGTTCCCGATCAAGAACTCGCTTTGCCATGGATGGGGGTACTACACAATATGGATTCGAATATCATGGATGCCACTAATACGATCCACCCAGATAAGGAAAAGAAAGAAGAGGTGAACTGTGCTCAGGTGCTAATAAGTCCGTCAACCGTTGACGGTTGACACAATCAGCACTGTCAATTCCGAAGTATCTCATCTTTGGCGGTACGTTACTACAACAATATGCGTTCACTTATGCCAAGATACACTACCGGAACTGGGCAGTGAGGCTGAACAGCGCGATTTTCTTTTGCCCCCTAATTTCACGATGCAGAAGATTTCAACTTCATGGCGTTTTCTCGGTCTGGTATTCCGTATTGGGAATGGCGATAGCCTGACTATTCCACCATTGTCTTCCGAATCTGTTTGTTACATTCACCAATCGACTGATTGCGTGAGAGAGGAAATTTGTGGTACGTCGTGGCAGGACTGAGCGAAGCTGGGAAAAGTTTGATGGATATCTTTACGCGACTTCATTTTGCACCTGATTTCACTCCCTTTTCCGGCCTGGAAGATTTCTATATAATCCCATCTTCATGTCCGCATCTACACATTCTTATTCCTCATCCACTCACACAAGGACATAGAAGAATAGCATCTTCAAAAGCCTAGATCGACAAAGAACTATCCTATTGTGATACTTCTCCCTCGTTTGTCTTCATCCCTCCAACTTCGCTTCCCTCTCATCATTATCACAATACTTCTTCAAAATGAGGGTCACCATCGACAAGCCATCCTTCCACAGCCGTAGCCTTTCTGTGCCGGCACCACCTACACCTCCTCCTGAAGCATTGGGCCTCAACCTTCCCGGCTTCGACACCTTCAAGGCCAACTTTGATCTCCCCCTCACACCTGTCACACCGCCGCCAGAGTACAAGGAGCACCCTTTCTCTCACAATGACCGCGTTCTCGACCTCTCTCCCATCGTCGACCCCAATGACCAACCCCTCGTGGCCGTCATCGGCGTCGGCTACGTCGGCACTCACCTCGTCGAGTCATTCTCCGCCCACTACAACGTCCTCGGCTTCGACGTGTCAGAAAAGAGAATCAGCGAGATCCGTGAGGAGCTCCCAAGCGACCGCATCCGCTTCACAACCTCCAAGACGGACCTCCACGAGGCTACCCACTTCCTTATCTCCGTTCCTACCCTCCTCAAGGCAGACAAGTCCATCGACACCTCCTATCTCCAGTCCGCCATCGCCACAGTTGCCCAGCACGCACGACCTGGCTCCACCGTCGTGATAGAGAGCTCCGTCGCAGTGGGCATGACCCGCAGTCTTCTCGGCCCCGTCGCCACCGCCCGCGGCTTCTATGCTGGCATGTCTCCAGAACGCGTCGACCCAGGACGCATCGAGCCCCCCTGCCACGCGATTCCCAAGATCGTTTCAGGCCTCGACGACGAGATCCCCGGGTCGTTGGCCTCCGTCATGCGCCTCTACAACCAAGTCTTTGACCGCCTCGTGCCCGTTAGCCGCACAGAGGTCGCCGAGATGATGAAGCTCTACGAGAACTGCCAGCGCATGATGTGCATCGCATTCGCCAACGAAATGGCAGATGCCTGCATCCCGCACGGCATCGACCCCTACGAAGTCGCCGCCGCCGCCGCCTCCAAGCCCTTTGGCTACATGCCCTACACCCCTTCCCTCGGCGTCGGCGGCCACTGCATCCCCGTCAACCCGTACTACCTCCTCTCCAACAGCGCTTTCCCCTTGCTGGAAGCCGCCGCCGAGAAGATGGCTGCGCGACCCGCCGCTATTGCCCGCCGCGCTATCGATTCGTTGACGAGAGATGCCAAAGCTGGAGCTGCCTCGGCTCTGGTGCGTCCTCGTGTTCTTGTCGTCGGTGTAGGCTTCAAGGCTGGCCAGTCTGTCCTGAGTAACTCGCCGGGCATTGACCTCGTTAAGGCCTTTGTCCACTCTGGTGAGGTCGATGTCATGTACGCGGATCCCCTCGTCAAGCAGAGCGCCGTGCCTGTTGCGCCTCGCTTGGCTGATGAGAAGTGGAACAAGGAGACGCTCGAGACGTTTGACATGATTATCGTTGCTTTCCGTCAACACGGTTTGGACTTTGGTATCATGGACGAGCTTCGTGGCGTCAAGGTTGAGATGTGGTGCCCGTAATTTTCCCTGTGGCTTCTTGTTTTCTACTTAGAGTTGTTTCTTCCGGCGCTATTAGAGACGTGGTTAGGTGTTTGGATTCTTTTCACTCGCATTTGTTTGTGCCGATGAATCGGCGGTGTAAAATTGCATAAAATGAAGACTTGGATAAACGTGTGGTCATAGACTTAGACATGCCTTCGATGGCAGTCCCAATAATAATCATAATTGCTCTGAATGCTGTGCTTGAATGATGTAGTGAACACGCACTTAGATGGGACTTGATGTCTCCTTCGTGACCCCTGATTTCATGCAAGTGAGAGGCCCATCTTGAGTGAAGTTTTTATGGAAACAACTGGCACAATGTTTTCACCACAATCACACCACTGCGCAGCTAGTTAATCCTACGAAGCATGTTCTTGTCCGGATCTCTGATCCATCTTCTTCCGAGGATTCATGGACGGGTTCTGTTGCCTTCTTTCTGAGAACAATCTGATGTCGGCGTAGAATAAAGACGCAACCCGCATTAGTAGCGAATTTTGACCCCATGAATGATGAAGACCCGAAATACCTTCCATTTCCCATGTAAATCACCAATGCAACAGGCGCGCTAACCGTCGAAGGAACAACCATCGTCGACCACAGCAGATTCGACCTCGACGCCAGATTCTCCTTACCCAGGACCTCAGCATTCGTCGCGTTGACCCAGAAGATAAGCGACAGTATCACCGTCGATAGAATTGTCGAATATATGACGTTGATGCGTCCGAACCAAACGCTCAGCCATCCAAAGGTGGGACGTCCGACAGCCTGACCGAGCGTGAAGACCGCCGAGACCTTAGAAGCCTGAGACGAGTCCGATCCGATGACGCCTGCGTACCTAGGTAGTCTGCCACTTTGTCGCTCAGATGTGACCAAGTCACCCGCAGATGCCAAATTCTCTCCCTCCCTTCCCCAAGTGAGCCTTACAGCCCCCATATACTTCAATAGATGAATGCGTTTACACCTGGAGAAGAATAGAAGGAAATATCAATCCTGGAATGAATAGCCGGGTAATTCCTCTTTCCATATGCATAAGAATGCAGGATCAGCTGCATTCAACAAGGCAGACCTCCCTTGGATTTTAGGGGCATGGATTGCCCACGAGGTTGCCGTGGCTGTAGCGTGTAGGTCTTATCTACAACCAATGCTAAATTAGGAAAATTAAGACGGCATTTCTTTGTTAAAGATTGTCGGTGTAGAATTTGGAAATCCAGTTCCGGTGGTGGGTAGTTTTATATTATGACTGGTCCATATGTTCTTGAGTTGATGCAGTCAATCACACAGTCAGTCGGCCGTGAGGAAGACCTATCACCTTCTCCGCTCACATTGTTCGAGCCTCCCTAATGCAACCATAGCCCAGGGGAGACCCCAACCAACGCGGCTAGGTGCCGCCCATCCTTCTTGGAAAATTGGCCAGTTGGAGCCAACACAGTGGCGATAGGCGTCTTGTTGGGTGTTCTCAGCTGCGGTTGAAGTCCTTGTGGCTCGACGTGATCACCATGTAACGTTGCGGGGATAGGCTCCAAGGCTGTCCTGAGGAGTGAGGCAGAATGGTAATACATCTGGACCTCCAGGTTTGATGCTAGTTAATATACCCTTTTCGCCTGAGCTCGTCTGAAAATACTCAACTGTTTCCTTACAAGCCTACTTTCATGTACAAACCCCAAAATACCTCACACCAGAAGACTTTTCTTAACGAACTACACGTGTGAACGAGGTCGCAATGGAAGCTGCTGGTTTGGGTATTGCTTGCGTCAGTCTGGGGGAAACGGTGATTAAGCTTTATAAGCTTACCAAGAAGCTCCGGAATGCGCCGGAAAGCTGGGAGCGCTATCGGGCACTGCTGGACAGTTTTAGCCAGGTATGTAATCTTCCTATATCCCGAGATTTCGACAAACAACTAAGTCTCTTAGCTCCTAGAGGCCGTGAAGGGTCTCACGGCTAACACAGAGGGACTTGATAAGGTAATAGTACAGCGAGATGGCCGCAACTACGGGTTGATTGAGTTCTGCATGGCGAACACTGATATCCCACTGAGCGATGCGAGGATGTTCGTGAACAAATACAATTCCATCGGAAAGCGCCATTTTCCGAATTTCAAAAAGTTCTTTTCGTGGAAAGCTAAAATCCTCAACTTTGTTATTAAGGAGGAACAAGTTACTGCCTGCATTCGAAATGTCGAGACGGCCATGGTTGGCCTCAGCATCGCCATCCATGCTGCCTCGCTGGCAAGAACAAACGATGCGTACGTGAAGCCCTCAGATTGACGATCGCATGGTGTTACTTGGAGAACTGACCTGCTAATTTCCATAGGTTCAATGAGAACAGACTGGCAATCGGCGAGTTAACGAAGCAGCTATCTGACACACTTGCAAAAATTCACAAACATCACGAAGAAAGCATGACGAGGAAGGAACGGCCTACCGCCCGCTTCAAAGTCGAATCCAAGCGTCGGGTACTTCCGAGGTTTCCTGGGAAGCGCGACCGACAGCGTCAGGCCATCCAAGTTCCAGAAATAAGCTCTGCTGTGGATACTGCCATGTTAGCTGGGTCAGAGTTGCGAGCGATCCAGGCCCCGGACGTACAGACGGATGTTGCCTTAGTCCCATTCAGCCACTCCGAAGACCACGAAGGATCTAGGCAAAAAATACTTGCCGGTAATCTCAGGGTCCTGGCAACAATGGCGAGTGATCCAGGCGTAGCAAGCGGCTTACCATCGATCGGCGGCGATGACAACAATATCGAAATCGTTTTCGAAGACGGCAGTGCCGCCTTCATACCTGCCCAAGCACGTACAGGGTTCTGTGATGAAGCCAATGGTGATGCGGTAACGTCCGTCAGAATCTCACAAGAACTGAGCATCATTCATCCCCCCTTTGACAAGACGGTATCAACTTCTGACGCACAAGAGCTCCTGGAGTTTTTGGGGAGGGACCAGACTGAGGCCGGAGCGATCGGTGATGATATAGACGTCCCAATGACATTGGTCAGATTACAGTCTTGCTTCATGTTTAAGTTCAAGATGAGCGACAGAAGCAATGAAGACTATGCATCTCCCGAGACGACAAAACTTCGATATCTCTGCGTTGAGACTTTGGATCCACATCTTCCGGACCGCAAAATAGATACCATGTCCGCCATCACGGCGCAGAAGCCCTGCGACCAGTTTCCGTTTTGCGAGCATGTAAAGATCGATCAGTTGGATGGAGGAAAATCCACATCCGAACTTCTGCAGTCAACCATGGGGCACGTAATGTTCCTTGTCGACGCCAAAGGTCTTGAAACAGCTCGCCGCGTTCCCCTGTTTTCTCAAATCGATGGTTCTGTATACAGTCACAGGTGCAGCGAAACCTGCGATCATACTCAGATAGAAGAACGTGGGAGAGATATCGAAGGAGACACGGCGATGGCGCGATGTATGGAACAAATATGGCTCGTTGCGATGATAGGACGCATAGGAACGACTGACGACTCAGATGACGACACGGAATCCGATCGGGATGCTCAATTGGGACCGCTTCATTCTCTGATTGCAATGATAGGGCGTATATGGAGAACCAATGGCTCCGATGGCTCCGATGACTCTGGCGACGACACGGAATCCGATCAAGATGTCGCAGTGGGCCCGTTCCATTCGGTACCCTGCTTGTTCTGTCGGGGACCGGCTTTGAGCCCTCAGATGGAAGAGACTGAAGAGTTGGACTCAGTGGTGGCGTATGGCAGGCATTCCTACGGTTACACATGTGCGCGATGCCACCAGGTCAGCTGGATCACGGGGGTCAAGCAAGCTGGCTTCGAGCAATCGAGCGAGACGAATTAGGTCTCTGGTCGTCTGTTGTTGATGTCGGTATATTGTCAGATGCCTTGTCGCTCGAGGGTCGTGATGGTGGAGATGGCTCAGACATTGTCGATGGTCGACATCGTACAGCCACAAAAGACCTGTACGTAATCAGCTATTGTGAATGAGATTGTTATGTGCCGTTCGGACGCCTTCGTTGAAGGCCATCTTTGGGAGTGCACTCACAGGTGCCAGTTGTTCATCCATGGCGAACTTATGTTTTGCATAGAGAGATGATATTGCATCCAGAGCGGGAATTTCCGAGTACATGATATGGGATAATTTTCAAGAATCAAAGTACTCAAGCAGATGGCCATCGTTAGTCGGTGACTCTTCGTCTAGTTCCCCAATTGTATCGGGGAACTGAACTGGACGCCACATTTCGAATTCAAGCCATCTACACTTGCAAGACATTGCACAACTTCATGATACTAGAACATGACGCAACCTTTACAGTAGAGAGAAGTCTTTCGGGGCTACAATACGAATGTTCTGGTGATGCCGAAAAAGCGGCTGGTAATGTATTACGGATACCGTACAGGATAACTATCATCATTGATTTCAATATCTTAGCTTCTCGTGTCTTTTAGACTAAGGCAAGGTAGTTTTTGTATGAAGATGTGGAAAAATTGTCCAAAGTAATGTATCTGATGCCCCAGGTCAAAAGTAAGCCCTTCTCCCTGTCTTCCGACTGATTCCCCGACTCATTTCACTGATTAGGATCCGCCGCCTTGTAAGTCAAATCAACAGCAATCTCATCAAACCACACCTGGCGGAATCCCTGATCCCCATCAAGCTTCCCCTGGTCATGCCAACTATTCGCATACAAGCCAACACGAAACTGGAACGTGCTATCATCATTGACCGTTGTCACGACATTATACTTCTCCAACACCTTGGCCCCATCATACCAAATCTTATACAACCCAGTCGCATCGCTCCGCCAACTCGCCTGAATCACAATCCGATGCCACACCCCGCGCTCAACAGTCGTCAGGTTCCCATGCTTTACAATACTCCTCCCGCAATCCGGCTGCCGATACTGCCCGCTCACGATCCTCGAGGTAAGCTGGTCGCCCTCGAGCCAGAGCATGCTAGACGGCATCCAATCATCCCCGCCGCAGCCCGCTCCCGGCCGGTTGGCGATGAACTGCGCGATGTTGTACGACTGTGGCTGGAACTGCCACGACTCCGAGAGGCGGAAGGCGAAGCCGTAAAAGCGGTCTTGACCGCGGGTGTAGCCATCGTTGACGTCGACTTCGGAGTGGTAGCGCCCCGTGTAGGAGGGGTCGTAGGTCTGTGTCATTTTGAGGGCGGTGGAGCCCTTGTAGACTACGTTTGTGACGGTTTGGACGACGCCGTTGTGTTCTTGGCGGACGTAGTCGAATTTATCGGCGGCGGCGACGTCCCCTGGGTTGGAGAAGGGGTAGGTTGCCTGGACGGCTCCTGGGGCTAGGCCGAGGGCCGCGATGATGATGCATTTGAGAGACATCATGTTGGCCTTCCGTGAGACTTTTGGACCAGAGTAAAAATTTGAAAGCTCTGAGCTGATATCTTGAACCCCTGATTCGGAGATTTTGAGACTGAGGTAGACATTGGGTGAATTTGTGAAGTGAATTCAAGTTGGCTGCCTAGTTACTAGATATCACACTCCATTGCGCTTCTACACTGTTAGTCTGCTTTCGTACATAAATGCGACTCTGACAGACAGTGCCCGTAAACTGAGGTGCGAGTTGTCTTACTAACGGCCAATGAACGTGCAGCCTGCCTGGAGCCATATAATCTTGAAGAAGTTAATAGCCTTTCTCTTCGGCTACCCGCGATGTGAAGTGACCAATCATCTCTAACGGTACTCCTATAGTGCGCGATATTCAAGAAGGATTACTCATCCTCTCACCTTAGTCTCGTCGTTTGTTCATGTCGTTTGACGGTTAAAGCGGGGTTGTCTTCGTAATGAGAGACAACTGAAGTCTGACACTTATGCACTTGCAGTTCAGGTATGGCATCTAGGTACCTAGGTAGCTGTTTGTGTGTGTCTCGAAAAGTTCTATGGACTGTGCTTGCTGAGCTTGGTTCGAGTTGAGCTGAGAGGCTTCTATGTGCGGGCTTGGGGTCAGCCAATTGTTGCGGTGACATGAAATTCCGTGTCTCGATTGAAGTCGAGGTCTATGAGTAGCTTTTGGACAAGTCGTTTCTAAGCGACTTGCTCTCACGAAATGAGGAGACAGCCTGAACGTCTGAGGAGCATAGGGCTTGGCGAGAACAGCGTCGCCCATGTCACTTGTGGAAGGCATTCTACCTCTTTACTATGTTGGGCTTGGCAACCCCGACCCATGTCTTCACCCAGTAGCTGCACTTTGTCGCATGGGGGGGCTTTTGGTGATCAATCAAGCTGTGCTCTACTTTCGCCTTACCTAAGGTATCAAAAGAGACCTCTCACGGTGACTACCTTACTTTGCAGGGGTAGGAGTCGCATTTCGCTGTGCACGCCTGCGTCTCAGGAAGACGCATATCTTCAAGAAGTTAGTTCAGACTCAACAAGTTGAAGTCATGCTCTTACGTACAGATAAGTACACAAGAAGCTAATTGTTCTCCGGTGGCTGGAGGAACACACGTGGAGTGCGGGCCTTGAGCTATACCAGAAAGCCATGCACATTATCCATCTCTCGGCCATGGCGAAGTGCGATAATGCCACGGGTTGGTTGAGCTGCAGGGTTGGCAAGCGGGATCACGATCGCATCAAGGTCCACCGGGCAACCGCGCCTTGAGTGAGTTGAAGAGAAGGCGACGATGACGTCGCCGAGACAGAGTAAAGACCAGGGCAAGTAACGCTAGCGGCTAGCCATTGGATTTACCAGCCACCAGCCACAGCAGAACCAGGGTGAGGAGAGGGGCAGAGGTCGAGATGCGCGCGTAACAAATGCCCCGAACCAGGTCAGGTCCCAGAAGCTTACTAGTGGACGGCCTGTGCCGTGTGTGTGTTGGGTTCAACTTGGATTGGGATTGGACCAGAGCAGGTTTGGGCAGTTTTTTCGTACAGTTTCGGGCAATGCGACGGCGAGAAGCGAATGGTTGCGGAGATCAAACTTGGTTCTGAACGGGTCGGTTACGAAGATTTTTGTCCGAATCTGGGGAGGCTGGGAGAGGGAGAGGGAGCATGGGCCTGATATTATGGGACTGTCATCCCAAGACTCATGGTTTCCCGGGCAGTCGATTGCAACTTTGCAACAAGGAGGGGAAGCTGATGGGAGCTTGGGTACAGTATTTCCCAGCTATCCATGTATTCATAGTCTACCCTGTAGAAAGTTGGAAGCCATTCGGGCTGAGTGAGGGTCTGGACTTGGCTGGAAGAGAAGATGATCACCTGAGTAAGAGGGGAAGATCAGATTAAAAGAAGAAAGCATAAAGTCCGTACCGCCGCGATTGCGA